GAACACTGAGAAATTCATGAGATTAATCTCGAGATGTATATATCCGGCGAATGATCGATAATTAATTTTGAGACGACGAGTACATCCAGCAGCAGCTGCCGACTTGAAGCTTCTGGCAGCACTGATTTGAATCGAGACCACTCGGAATTTTCACACGATTTTAATAAGCTCGCCGGCAATTTCAACGAAATTTAATTGCAAGTTCTATCGATTGTCAAAGAGATGATGGCGCTCGGGAGATTTATCGTTTAGAGCTTTGAAAGTATTGCGAGAGAGAAAGTGGAAAGTAAAAAAACAGACCGATGTACGGAGTATATGTTGCAAAGGATACGTTAATAATAGTATAATGTGTGTAACGTGTATTCTCTTTAGCAGATAATAAAATTTCTTAATAAATCTTCGGCTTTACCAAGATCTCTTACAATGTTGACAATTCAATGACCAAAGGATTGTATCTCAAGTTACCTCTCTGCGAACGACTTTTCCTTTTACAATTTTGACAAGTTTGCTTCTCTGATTACAGATAGAGGCCATGGAAGGTGGGTCGGTTCGATCGACGAATACAAAACGCGCGGGGGGCATCGGACTGCTTGTCAATCGCGAAATCCGCTTATCCATCGCGATACCGATGCTGGTGGCGTCGATACGAACGACTGCACGTTGCTCGGGCGACCGATACGCGAAGGAGCGGTCCCTGCGAATTTCGCACGGCTTGATAAGTACAGAATTACGAGCCGATACGCCCGTCCGTCTCTCCTCTCGTTCTCAGTCTCGTATCCAGCCATCAGAGATCATCTTGCGTGACCAGGAGAAAACGGAAACGCTTGACGCAGCACACAATGTCGTTCCTCGAAACGTGTAAGAACCGGGTCGCCGCGCGAAACGCCAGCGGTTCTTGACGTTGACTGACGAGGACACGAACCAAGCGGGAAAAAACGAAACGACGTTTGACCGCGCGCGAGCGTTCGAGGATTTAGAATGAACCACGGCGGTGCTCGCTGTAATTGTTAAGAAATTCAACGTTATCGTAACGTAACGAACAACGTCGAGAGACTTCAAACCTATTCGAAGCCTCTTCGATTCCCAGTCGAGAATGTGAGAAGAAATGGGAAACGAAGAGGAAGAACGCCGAAAGATATAGAGCATAGAGTCTTGTAATAACGCGTCTGTCTAAAAATGCATCAGTTATCGATTATCTGGACTAAATATTCAGCTAAGGTGAATTGGAAATGACAGATTGAGCGCACACATGGATTTCGACAGATATTGTATCTCGTTTGCAGAAATCTTCGTCGTACAGAAATACACAAATGGTCGTCACCAATGGGACATGTATCGACACTTCCATCGTTAGAAAACTCATATCCGTATAATCGACCGCGATTCTACCGTTCTATAATAATAATAATAAAAATATTCTTCAGGAAAATTTCGATTTTGGGAAACGACAACGCGAACTGACAACACGTACCGCGAGATGCTTGTAAATGCTCGAACGCTCAGACACCCCGTGGTTCACACACACAGTGAGAGAGAGAGAGAGAGAGACAGAGAGAGAGAGAGAGAGACCGGTACCAGAATGAAGCTAGAGACGAGACGTTCTGCACACGTTCGCTGTCTACGACCTACAACACGGTGCCACTGGACATCTGCAGTATCTGTACATCGGGGTGTTTCTGTTTAATGTGAACCTTCAAGTTATCCAACCGGGTCCTACGACAGCCGCAGAGCGGGCACACGTAATTCCCTGGATTGTGCGTCAAGTAATGATTCTTTAGATTCGACACGACCCGACCGCATAGTTTGCATTTGCTAGTGTACGTGTACGGCAGCTTTTCGAAAAAGTCCGACAGATTAACTTTCTCAATGTACGTGAGCGGCGCGCACTCACTGCCCTGAGGAGTTAAAAGTGTCGTATCTGCAAATAGAGAAAAGTCCTGTGTGAAAAACGGCCACTGAAACGGTGATTCAATCCGGGGGAGAGATCCGCCTCACTCCATTTACCCCTCGAGCTCTTTTCTTTTCGCTTTGATCAGATTCACTCTACTAAGGAGAAAGGGTTACATAGGTAGCAGCGACATACTGTGTGTGTGTGCGCGTGTGTGTGTGTGTGTGTGTGCGCGTGCGTGCGTGCGTGCGTGCGTGCGTGTGTCTCTGTATTTTGTGTGTATACCTTCGTGTGTACGTATGTACGTATGTATTACAGTTCGTAATATAGTGTACAGTTCGTATAGTTCGTGAGTTCTCTCTGCACGCGAGCACAGAGAGAAAGAGAGAGGGAGAGAGAGAGAGAGACAGAGAGAGATATGGATGCTCGATTATTAGATGTCATGCATTGTTCGACAGAGAAGAGATCGGTTCGCACACGTTACATATTACACACGGTGATATCATAGCTGTTTATTATATATTATATATAATATTATCCGTAATCGATTATTGATTAGTCGAGTATTGTACTTTAAATGGAAAGGCACCAATAAAGAAACCTCTATAGAAAAAAATTTGTTCTTTTGCAACAGCCTTCGGAGACTAGTTCATCGTGACTATTTTATCGAGCCACGCCGACCCGACGAGAGTCAAGCGTTTCTTTCGTTAATTCTATCTTTCTTTTTTTTTTCTTTTTTTTCCTTTTTTTTTTTAAGCTATTTTCCTTCTTTTCTTTTTTCTCTCTCTTTTTCCGTATACTCAGTCTTCGACGTCTTTCACAACCTACGATGTATGTATAAATATATAAATATAAATATAATATAATATAGGATTTATAAATAAGTGTATAAATAGTTACTTAATACTGATCTTCCTCTCACCACCTGCGAAACAAGGCTGTTGTCATTACGGAGAAGTGTACAAAACGCTGGTCGAGCCGGACGCGACACCCGGGCATGGAACTGGAGGAAATCGGCCCTCGGACGCGCGCTTCTCGTCGACGTATCGTTATTAATAACGACGGGGACGTGTCACGAGCAATAATTTCGAGAGAAGAAATTTCTCCGCGCGGGTTTCGAAATCATCTCCGAGGTTGCCCGGAGGTGGTGGTGGTGGTGGTGGTTAAAAGCCGCTGGGCCACGCCAACACTTTGCCGGCCAAAGTATCGCCGTTATGCAAATCTAATCAAAGGCTAATATCTCGAGGTTCTCCTCTCGCACGCTCTCGCTGGAAATTCAGTTCGAGGTTGGAAATGAACGGAGCGGAGCACGCGAGACGCCCGACGACGACAACGTCTCCGCTGCTTGCTTCCTCTCTCTCTGCTGCTCGCGCGTCCTCACGAATCTCACAATCAGTTCCATGCGTCGTCGCGGCGCGGTGCCACACAGCGCGAAAAAAGAGAGCAGCGGTGACGGCAATTTTCGGGAAAGGGGAAAACCTTTCCGTTTCGGAACGTGTGAACGCACACGCGTGTTACGTCACACGGTGAGAGTTGGGATTTTTCTCGCTCGCTCGGAGGGAGGGAAGGCATTAAAATATCCTCGCGTGTATACACGAACGGACGCGCGGGAGGTAGTATTCTACGAACACGATTTTTCAAAAAAAAAAAAAAAAA